TTGCTTGACAGAGCCGACGCCGGAAGCAAACACAAAAGCGTGCGCCTGCGCGGTCCTACCGACAGCCATCCAAGGGGAGCCACCGGAGACTGCCGCCAAGAAAAAACATCAGAGCCTGCCAAAAAGAAGAAGCCGAGCCGAGCCAGAACAACAACAAGGATCCACCACCTGGGTGCCGGTAGGATCCCCCCCCCCGAAAATATGTGGCCTAAGTTAGGGTTCAGCGTTACTAGAACGCACCATGTAAACCGCCCAGAGACCCTTCGGGGCTAGGGCGGTATAGCAAGTCTAAAGTATAAATGAATGAATAAATAAATAAATAAATAAATGCATGATATAAAATCATATTTAAAAGATTCTATAAACAGCCCTGACCTCGATAGCCCAGGCAAACCTGATCCCGTTAGATCTCGGAAGCTAAGCCGGGCCAACACCGGCAAGTACTCCAATGACAGACCTCCAAAGAATACCAGGGCCGGGAGGCCAGAGGCAAGCTATCAAGCCACTTCTCTGAATGTCCTCCATGCCCCAGCAGGAGTCACCAGAAGTTGCCAAGACTTCCAGGCACGGGCACACACATGCGCATGCACACACACACGTGCACAAAAATGCAAAAATACCTCCCAAAAAGATTCTATGGTCAATTAACTAAATATGGTCAATTAACTAAATCCCTTTGTTGTTAGACTAATGATCTTGCCACATTTGCCCCTGTTAAGAAGACAGACCAAGGTATGTGTACATAAATTTAGAGGGCTCAATTGCTATGTCCTGGCTACCTGTCAATGGTTGAACAGCTATTGCTGGTTTAGGATTTGCAAACAGCTCTACTTTAAAGGCTTGTGAAATGGTTTTGCTTTACTGCCCATCTGTACTGAAAGAGATTCCTCCCCCTGCCACCAGCTAAAGGGAGGAGGCAGGTATATTGATGGAAAAAACAGTTTACCCATAGGTAGAAGATTACAACTGTGCAAGATGCTACTTTGCACTCTGTGAACACTCAAAGGTCAAGCTAAAGACCTGATCTGCAACTTTTCTCGATCTAACCTTTTGTCTTAGTTAGCCAGTGCCCAGATCCAGTGGCATCTTGGCGCAAGGTAACCAGGAGAACAAAAAACTTTTCATTTGGCACCCAAATATGCACATGATTCATGAAGTCTCAAGCAATTTTCTGACAAGATTATCTGGCTTTCACTGTCATTATGCAGTGTCCAATTCCAAGCACACTGGACACACCTACATTATGGTTCTAGGTAGAGGTAGCTGGATGGACTAGAAAAAACAACAGATGAAGGGACAACAGGTCTAGATATCTTACTCCTTGGCTTTTCCCTGCAGACTTTAATTTGTACTTACGAGGTTTTAGTTAGTGCTTTATGAACAAGCTTATTTAGAGCTTGTGCTATGACTGGCTGCTGAGATCAGTAGTGCATGACAAGCCCTTTCAAGATGATGCAGAATCTAGAGTAACTTCACGAGGGTGATGTTTACACTTTCCCGGCTTAAGCAAGGTCATTTTGCCCTGACTGCACACATGCAATGTTTGTGCCAGAAATTCTTCGCCTACTAATGATCAATATCCATGCAACTGCATACTGCTGACACTAAAGAAAGTTCAGCAGCAATATTTTTAGGGTCCAAAGAAAAATAAGAGGCACAATATTATTATTTAATCGTAGCAGACTTTTAAGCAGGTATATATTTTTATTTTAGTGTATCCATACTTTTCATTTAATGTTGCCAGCAGATCCACTTGCCCTTGGAACCCATGCTGTGTTCAAGGACCCCAGGGATTATCTCATTTTATCCACACAAATTATAATCCTAGGAGATAGTGTCCAGCAGTGGGTGAACTGCCACTATCGGAGACTGTCTTTTTAAGGAGTGCTACTGCCACAACAGGGCTTCGGTGGCTCATATGTTAAGATGCTGAGCTAAAGACTAGAAGGTCTGTCGTTCGGCAGTTCGAGACCCGAGTGCCACGTGACGGAGTGAGCTCCTGGCTCTGGCCCCAGCTCCTGCCAACCTAGCAGTTTGAAAGCAAGAAACTGCAAGTAGATAAATAGGTACCGCTTTGGTGGGAAGGAAACAGTGATCCATGGGCCTCGGTGTTTAGTCATGCCAGCCACATGACCATGGAAACATCTTTGGACAGCGCTGGCTCTTCGGCTTAGAAATAGAGATGAGCACTGCCCCCTAGAGTCAGATTCAACTAGCTCTCAAGCAAGGGAAACCTTTACCTTTACCTTACTGCCACAACAGCTGTTCAGTGGTGATTTGGTATGGGTTTTGAGATGGGGTTCAGCCTCAGCCATTAGCTTGCTGGCTCCTGTGGGGAAAGGAATCCCCAGGAGAGGACAGGGCAGTGTTCCCTATAAAACCAGCTGGGAGGAGGCTGATGAGGACAGCGCTCAGGCACCCTCCTCTGGCTGTAAGGAGGAAGAGGAACAAGACATTGAGAACCCCCCTCCCTCCTAATTTTGGGGTTGGTGAACAACATCAGGAGATGTGCCTCTGAAGAAATAGATAGGACAGAAGACTGCCCTCTATTCAAATCCAAAGACATAAAGGCACGTCGGTTTTCTTAAAAGGCAGAAGCAATTCCCACCACTTCCTCCTCCTACTGCAGACTCCCACTATGCTATTCCTGAAGCCTACAACAAAGAAACTTTGGGGAGTTCTGTGGTCTGCAGTGAGTGAGAAAAAATTGGTGGAAATAACAAGCCCCTTTTAAGAGAACTGAAATCTTTGTGTAGCTGGATGCAGGCCATTGACTTGTCCAAGGCTACTCAGTGAGGAGCTATACTAGATGTAACCAGGAGTTGATGTTATGGCATTTTTAAAAAAGAAAAAGAAAAGCTTCTGCAGGAGGCTGAAATACAGAGTAGAGGAAGGGATACTAAAGATACTTCTTAATCCTTTCTTATCTGGTCTCTTCTGCTCCAAACTGCCCTTCCAAGCAGCATTTCCACACACAGGGGGAAAGACACAATTCAATTTTGATTAAAATGTTTGCCAGAAGAGAAGAGTCTAGAACTCTGCCACTGCCTCTTCCAACACCCCCACCCCCGGTTTGCATTTCATCCACTCACTATTACTGCCTCTTGTGAGCCAGTTTGGTGTAGTGGTTAAGTATGTGGACTCTAATCTGGGAGAACCAGGTTTGATTCCCCACTCCTCCACTTGCACCTGCTGGATGACCTTGAGCAAGCCATAGTTCTGGCACAGCTGTTCTTGAAAAAAAGAGCAGTTTCTGTCAAGAGCTCTCTCAGCCCCACCTACCTCACAGGGTGTCTGTTGTGGGGAGGGGAAGGGAAAGGAGTTGGTAAGCCGCTCTGAGACACCTTTGGGTAGTGAAGGGCTGGGTGTAAATGCAATCTCGTCTTCTTCTTCTTGTGGCTGCTTTAATTTTTCCCCAAAAACTGCTGAATGACCATTACATGGATCTTCTGAGTTTGGCCATGACCTATGTGACTAAGTAGGAATCTGAACCTGAAGGTTTCCCAGTCCAGAATGCCATGCTGACTCATACTCATCTAGCAATGGTCACATTTAGCATGGAGATAAGGAGGCCTGCATTTCTTTCTAGACATCCCAAAGTTCTCAAATATAAATTTAATCTATGAATGGATGGGATCTTTGTGCATACAAGCTATCCTCAGGATCACAATCAACGGGTGTTACCCACTGAGTCCCTCTATGTATGGAGAACACTCTTCACTTACAGTTGCAATGATGACACAGCATAAAGAAACAGCGGGCACAATCCAACAATCTACTGTGTGCAGTAGAGTTTATATATGTACAGCCCTGAGTTGTTGCTTACTTTTGTCATTCGAACGCAAATACATACAACAACACCTGCGCCTTCTACGCTGCCCTTAATGTTTTGAAATATGTTGTGTGCCTTAGAATGAAACATAAATGTAGGCACTGATTGGATTGCACAGTCAAATATGCTCTATTTCTAAAAGAATAAAAATATGATTTAGAAATAGCTGGCTAAATTGCAGGTTGATGCATTTAAAAGAAAACAAAACCTAGCCAGTTCCAATTTACCAGACTTGGGAGTAAGTCCCACTGAAATCCACTGCTTTATTTCCAAATACACTGCAAGCAAACTAAATAAAACTATTAGAATTAAAGAAAAATGGGATTTGGTGTTCAGGACATTGTTGGGACTGAGAATGAAACGAAAGTATTACCTGCATCCAGACCTATGGACTACAGCCTACCTCTATAAAATCAGATAAGGTATGTATTATATATATTTCTAGACTTTTACAAATGAAAAGGCCAAGATAAAAAGCTGAAGTGATTTCTCCAAGTTCAATACAATTACAGGACAGCTAGGAACAGAAGTCTGGATTTCTAGCCACTATGCTATCAAGAGCAGACGCCCGCCAATGATATATAGTATAATATGGTTATATAAAACATTCACTTCTGCCTGTAATACACTACATGATTTAAGGGTCATTTCTGCAGTATTATTTACAATTCAAACACACCGGATCAAAGCATATTTCTAATTGCCCTCTTTTATAGTTTAATATAAAAACAAATTTGGGAATTGGCGATTGTTCCATTGGATCTTTCTTTTAGGGGGGAAAAATAGGGCAGTTTTAGTGATCTCCATGTTTAGCACCTCAATGAAACCTGGCCATGAGCTACTGTAGAATCCAGAATACAAGGAATGTGTGCAGTCAGTGGAAGACTAATTGCAATAGATGTATGACTGAGGCTTCCTTATATGGCTGAAATGGTTTAGAAGGTTTCTATTTGATAGTTTAGCACAACCAAGTTTGTCAAATACTTGATGAGATGCATTCAACTGCATGAGTTTAAGCAAGCCTGCCAGAGGATCTGACATCTGTCTTATATTGTGATATTCATCACAACATCTCAGTCAATCCATTAGTACACCAAAGCATTTCAGTAAGTGACACTGACTAGAATAAAATGGGGGGCAGTGCTTTCTTAATCCATTTCATGCTTACCTTTCTCACATTGTAAAAATCGCGATGTGGATTGCTCTTCAGTTCCTTAAGCTCGGACATTTCATTTAACATCTCATGTAAACCAAACTTAGATTCTAAAAAGTTAAGTCTTCGGTGACAGTATGTTTTCCTGTGGAAAAAGGAACATGACATCATAACTGTGATCATAATACCCAGAACTCATGTACAGAGGAGAATTATGTTGATCAGATTATACACCAACAATCTGGTAGTTAATGCATAACTTTCATTCAGATTCATTTGTTGCAAAATATCAGGCGTATAATCTACCATGGTTGTTCATATCGAAACATAATTTAGTTCTGCCATCTGCCAAATACAACATTTTGGAAATTCAAGATGTTTGCCACCTCACATCCCAGAATTTAAATCACATAGCTGTTTAAATGTCAGCAGCCTTTTAGCTACTGAAGTGTAGAATAGCTACTAAAGTTTCCTTAAAGTTTTTTCATTAAAAACAACAACACAAAACAAAACCATACGTTGGACCATCTGCAATAAGAGCCAACACATGACTGAGGTCAAGGGTGTAGGTCTGTAGATCAGGATAAGGCAGGCTCCGGGGCTCATCAAGTTCCTTCATTTCCTTGTTATCAAAAACAAAAAGAATGCCACCCTTCATCTTCACAACATAATCCAAGTTCCCTGGAGCATCTTCAAGACTGTAAGGATCTTGCATTTCTTTTGGAGGTGGATGAAAATCTGTAATAGGTCAGAAGACTTTGGACATTATTCAAAATTCAGTATCACTACTGGTGATACTGGTTACAGTATTCCAACAAAATATCATTGTACTAGTCTTATTAAAATAGTCTATTGTTCATGCTAGTGTTATTCTGAACCACTTAACTTTATTTAACTTTTACGTTCAATGTGGTTTAACAGTTCTTACCAGCCCCTAATGGAGTGCACCCCAACTGTTCAACTAAGCTGTTCAACTAAGAGTGGCATGTTCCGTCAACACGACAGCTATGCCTGTGGATGCAATACATACTGACAAATCCTGCTGCCCTTAGCTGAACAGAATGGCAGCATACAAATCCCTTTATTACAGTGGATTTGAGAGTTCTTAACCATGCACCTGAAGGTGCTTTGAGAATACATTCTTCAAAAAAGAACCCTGCACTTTTTTAACTCAGCAGTTTCAGAAACCCTTTATGAAATGGAATCAGCATTGATATTGAACACGTGAACACATGAAACTGCCTTATACTGAATCAGACCCTTGCTCCATCAAACTCAGTATTATCTACTCCAACTGGCAGAGGCTTTCTAGGGTCTCAGGCAGAGGTCTTTCACATCACCTACTGCCAAATGTTTTAACTGGAGATACCTTGGACTGAACCTGGGACTTTCTGCATGCCAAGCAGATGTTCTACCATTGAGCCAAAGCCCCCAAACATGCCAAAAAGGCTAGTGTAAGCAGTGGCAATTCTGTTAGCATCTTTTTTTCTGTTCTGCCTTAGACAGCAACCTGACAGAGAGTTAGATCCTATCAGCCTTTCTACTCAATCTTGTGCAATTCCCCTTTTCATTGAAACTTCCATCCTGCATGGCATCCATCTTCACCTACTTGATTTATGGTGCTAAAAACACAGAAAAAAGGCTAGGGGAAAAGTCCCAGCCCTTATCAGTCAATAGGGTTGGCAACAGGCCTGGAAACAAATATCCTGTCCCTTTAATCGTGGTTTAATGTGTAGAAATGGGCAGTTGTATTTAATGGCATGGAAGTAAATAACATCACCTGGTAAATAACACTGCATTAATCTTCTATTAACGGGACAGAACATTTTTCTCCATGCCTGTTGACAACCCTATGCTCAACTAAAACAGATACTAGTGGAGTTCACCGCAGACAATATTGTAGTTGGAGGGCAGCTGTGCAATTACTATGGCTCTGGGGAAATTATTGTTCCTGTTCTTCTACTATATTTTTCTTTGACTTCTGAAAACATACTAGTGAGTTGCCATCAACTTAGCACAGTGTAACAGCCACTGTATTATTTGGACTATAGGGCTGGACTGCTCTTACACTATAAAAGTATTTATATTGTCAATATTTACTCCTTAAACATAAAATTTCAACAAATCCTAATAGATATTCAAGTAAATATTAACTAAAAAGGCACATTAAGATCAATAACATAAATATATCATATTTTCATAGGTACAAGACTATGTCTAGTATACCTGGAAGCACCTCATCTTCAACTTTCCATGTTGTATTCTGCATACTGCATAAATATTGTGACGTTGTCCTTGGAAAACGATGGTATGCGAGGCGACAATATTTCTCTCGAATTAGCAGAGCTTTTGCCAAGCTCTTTGCAGCCTGTTCATAATCATCGACTGTAACCTGAAGACAGAAATTATATAATTATTGAAAAGTCTACTTAATGTTAGTATGTAATGTTAGAACTAAACCTAGTTCTCACTGAAGTTGTAAACCAGTGCCTGGGCTGGATCACTTCAGACTACAGGTGGAGGCTCCTCCATACAAACTAACTCTTGGATGTACAAGACTAGATGTCAGGAAGGAGGCTAGACTAAAACTCAGTCACCTACAGGGCTTTTTTTCTGGGGGAATGTGCTGGAACAGTGTTCCAGAACCTCTTCGATAAAATTATTTTTTAAAATGTTCAAAAGTTCATGAGTTTTCAGTATACAGATTGAAAACTTAATTTCCCTCTTGAGAGTTCTGGCACATCTTTTTCAAAAAACAAAGCCCTGGTTACCTATATCCCTTCATGTACAGTCATAAAACACATGCTGGAATGAATCCCTATGAGGCTTTTAAGAAGTTTGTTTTTAGTCCTTCGTCCAGAACAGTCCTCAGCCAGGTGTATGTGGTATTGTCTAGTCATCTTCTGGAATTGGAGATTGTGTGCAAACTATCTAGTTAAGAACATAAGAGACACCAATGTTGGATCAGGCCAAAGGCCCATCCAGTCCAACACTCTGTCACACAGTGGCCAAAAATACCAGGTGCCATCAGGAGGTCCACCAGTAGGGCCAGGACATTAGAAGCCCTCCCACTGTTGACCCCCTCAAGCACCAAGAAGACAGAGCATCACTTGCCCCAGAGCCCCTATCTATACCTTGTGGCTAATAGCCACTGATGGACCTCTGCTCATTGTTTCATTTCATGTGCACCGGCTACTCATGCGCGAAGCACAAGTAGTCTGCCTATATAGGAGATGCAGCTGGGTTTCCTTTTCAGAGAATGATAAGGCATGCTGCAGTGTATTCAGCATTACATGGGCCTAGCTACAGGTTGGCAAGAGAGAGAGAGGAGAACATTTCAAGTGCACTGGCTACTCATGCGCGAAGCACAAGTAGTCTGCCTATATAGGAGATGCAGCTGGGTTTCCTTTTCAGAGAATGATAAGGCATGCTGCAGTGTATTCAGCATTGCATGGGCCTAGCTACAGGTTGGCGAGAGAGAGAGAGGAGAATTTAAAGAGTGCCATTGATTCTTAGAATAATTCTTTGATCTATCTATACATTTATTCCAAAGTATGCATTTAATTAATTATATTTTGCCATTACTAATCAGTACTGAATCCGCATGTCCATGGTTGTGTTCAGACTGGCAGTTTGGCCCGATATAGGCACATTTTACAAACGGATTAAACAGGCAGGATCACACAGCCACATCTGTCAGGGGTGTACTGACCCCGTCAGCGGACGACTTGGAGCCGGGTTAAAAAGCCACCACCTCCGAAGTGGTGTATTTGTTTCCCCACATATTCATTGCGCATGGCCGGATGTGTGAACACAGGGGAGCGTGCGCAGAATGGATTTGGCAGTGTGAACCTGCAGATCCGTTCTGCCGCTACACACGCGGTTTTTAAAAAGAATTGCCTATGTGCGCATGCGTGTGCATGCGCACTACGCACACACATGGTTTTTGGATTTTATTTTTTTTGCAGTTTGCTCCGTGGCTGAGTCGCCACAATAATGTGGATGCTTTACCACGGGATGTCTCCGTGGGTAACCCACAGCAGGGTGTGCTGTGTGGCTGATATATCCCACTACACTTTAACCCGGTTCAATTAGAGGCGGCACCATATCGCGCCGAGCCGCCAGTGAGATCACAGCCCATGTTTATATACCACTGAATGGAGCAGATACTAAGCAAACACAAGGGATTATACTAATACTCTCACATTGGACATACAGCAGTTAACACTTAAAAAAAAAAAAATGATCATTTCCTTACCCCAGCACAATAATCCCCACTAATTGTAACTCTTTGAAATTCTGGTACATCGTATGTCCCTTGACTGGGCTGAAGAGCGCCTGGAAGGATTGGACTAGGAGGAGAGATAACGGGCACAGCTGATGGAGGCTTCCATTCCTGAGACGGAATTTGTAATGACAAGGACTGGGATCGAATCATCTTGAAACTTTTCTTCCTAGGTATCAATAGTAAACAATATTTAAATGAACACAATACTTACCCAGGGCAACAAAATAAGCTATTCTAGAAAAAAGTCTGGAGAATGATACATTTCTTAATTTGGCAATGTTAGTTACAAGATTTCTGTTCCATGTATCCAATACTACTTGCACTAACCATGGAGCTTTAATATGCCAGAATTTATCACCCAGAAAATATGTACTTAGGACAGAATGAAACAGCTACTGTAAAGTGCAAGGGTGCAAAACACTGGCACTACAGGGACATTATATAAGTTTTGCCTGAAAACATACCAGCAAAAACATTTAGAGCTGGAAGGACATAAGAACATAAGAGACGCCAATGTTGGATCAGGCCAAAGGCCCATCCAGTCCAACACTCTGTGTCACACAGTGGCCAGAAATACCAGGTGCCATCAGGAGGTCCACCAGTGGGGCCAGGACATTAGAAGCCTACTATTGACCCCCCCAAGCACCAAGAAGACAGAGCATCACTTGCCCCAGAGCCCCTATCTATACCTTGTGGCTAATAGCCACTGATGGACCTCTGCTTCATATGTTTATCTTATTCCCTCTTGAAGCTGTCCATGCTTGTAGCCGCCACCACCTCCTGTGGCAGTGAATTCCATGTGTGAATCACTCTTTGGGTGAAGAAGTACTTCCTTTTATCCGTTCTAACCCGACCACTCAGCATACTTCTCAAGCAACAAAATACAAAGAAACTTTGTCCACTCCAATAGACATTTTATGAAAATAGCATCCTAAGTTTCACTGTTTAGCTACATTAAAATTATACTAAAGGTCATTTTGTGAATGAAAACCTGTTTTCCCACATTAAAAATGCAAACAATTTTGTAGAATTACACAGCTCAAGGCTATAGCACAAGAAGAACAAGCAAATATGGCGTGGTCTGTTTTTTTAATGGGATGCCCGCAAACAACTCCCATAGGTACATCTGTCCCTCTCCCACTGAATGCAGCAGCAGGTTCTTCTGGCAAGGACCAGGATTACACGGTCTGCAAAGGTGCAGTGCACACAGGATTCCCTTAGCAGGTAATGGCTGAGCACAATGCCATGTGCTCTCAACTCTGCTGAAAGCTGGCAAGGAATTGAGCTCTATGAGGATTCCCCCCCATGCCCACAACAAATATGGGATAGCAGAGATCAGTTGGTAATTTGCTCACCTTTTAACCTCTAAATGTTTTATTATATATTTTAAGACAATTATTGTGCGCGATCACAAGGACAATTAGCCGCGCCCTAGGTGCGAATGCTGGGCAGATTTAAAGGGCGCCATCAGACACGAACATCTGGGAAGCGCCCTGCACCCGTCGGCAACCCGTTTTGCTCCACCGCATAAGCACCAGGGAACGTCTGGTAACAAACGGGTGGCTACAGGCCACAGACGGACTTTTCCCCTTTCCGATCGCTCCAGCGCGCTCTCATGGCGCCGGGATGGCCTGAGCAGGCCATCCCGACTCCGTGCCGGTTTTCCCCCCTTCTCAGTACGCGCATCATCGCACACTCGATAGGGAGCCCTCAGGGCTGAGATGTGGTTCATCGATTCCCCGTTTAAGCAAATTAGAAACAAATGACAAAAACAAACAAAAAAACGACTCACCCGCAGTTGCGTCTGATCACACAGTGGCGGGCTGCCCCCGCAGCTTTAAAGGACTATGTGATCGCACAACTGCGAGTCAAATTCCTCCGGAGGGAATAGCCCCCCCCCCGTTTTTCTTGCGCATGTGACCGCACCCATTATCTATTGAATGGCCATGAGGATTAGATCAAATGTAAGAGACCGGTAATGGAAGAGAAATCTGGTTTGAGAGGACAGATCTACAATGGACCATCATGCTTAAGATTCGCGAGTCCCCACTTCCGATATTACTTGACAAGTAGAATTTCAGAAACACCAGGAATCTGTATTTTTAAACAGGGCTTTTTTGGTAGAAAAAGCCCAGCAGGAACTCATTAGCATAATAGGCCACACCCAAGAGCAGAAATTCATTAGCATATTAGGCCACACCCCTGACAGCACAGCTCATTAGCACATTAGGCCGCACCCCCATGTTACCAGAAGTGTGGTCATCCAGCCACACCCACCTTTTGCTTCTTATTCTGTTTACCTTGTTTGTTGTCAACACCCAGAGCCTTTTTTGTAGCAGGAACTTCTTTGCACGTTAGACCACACGCCCCTAATGTAACCAATCCTAATGAGTTTCTGCTGTTGGGTGTGGCCTATTATGCTAACAAGTTCCTGCTGGGCGTGGCCAAATCAGGAGCCAGCCGGAACTCCGTTCCTGCCCAAAAATAGCCCTGTTTTTAAATACTTTTTTCATTTGAATTTTCACAGTGGCTGTAAATTAGGGGCCATGTTAGCATGACCAGAATGTAAGAGGAGAGTTTTATATTAATGTTGGTAGCAACAGAGCACCACAGTATGTTATAAAATGTCACGGGGGAGGGGGGACCACTCACTGTTTTCATTTCAAGGGAAACTTTATGGGAAAATATTTCTTTGCCTGTTATTCATATCTATATGCAATTCCCACAGATGCCATGCCCTTTGAGATGTGCTCCAGCAGTCAACCATAAATGTTACTTCAAAGTACTGCCAAATACTCATTGAACAAACCTTTTAGCCGTCTCCAAAGACTGCTGTTCTGCCAACTCCTTCTGCAGTTCCCTTTCTTTCGCCTCTTGTTGCCCAATAGGGCAGTCTTCAGGCACACTGAATAGTGATAAGGCATCTTTGCTGTCTTCTTCTCGAAGAACTTTGGCAAAAACCTTTTCAGCTAGAAGTCGCACCGACTCATCAACTTCTGAAATGTTTAGCTTTGGAAATTGCCTGGGCATCTCTGGTAAAAAAAATATACACAGACAGAAAATGTTAGAGACTAATTACAATATTAAGATTACCACATTTGTTAATCACATAGGAGTTAAAATTCTTCAACAGCTTACACCCCAGATTATAGCAGTTAATCAGGCCACTTTTCATGACAAAACTGTCCAGGTTAAACTGAAAACATGAATTAACTTTTATCCATGCAAAGCTCAATATGTGTTGAAGTGCCTGGGTAAAGCTCTTTTTGTAGCAAGAACTCCTTTGCATATTAGGCGACAACCCCAGATTATAGCAGTTAATCAGGCCACTTTTCATGACAAAACTGTCCAGGTTAGACTGAAAACATGAATTAACTTTATCCATGCAAAGCTCAATATGTGTTGCAGTGCCTGGGTAAACGGTTCACAAGTACTAGAAACAGGACAGTACATGGGGAAACAGGAATATCTACGGAGGGAGTCTGTTCCTGCTCTCCCAAGGGCTTTTTGGGAAATATTAAAAAATCCTAAGAAATATTTTTTGTGTTACTATGAGTGAAATGCTTCTTAAGACAAAATTTTCCTCAAATACTCAAGAATTGTGTGGCACAAAGATCTTTATCTGATACAGTCTCCAGTATTATACAGCAATGATTCCTGTGTATACTGTAGCTGATTGTGGTACAGACCATGAACTGTTAATATTGAAAATTAGAATAAAGCGAAAGAAAAATGCCAAAACATTCATAGTGTCAAAATACAATCTAAGCAACATTCCTGGAGAGTTAAAAGACCATGTAAAGAACAGATCTGCATTACTAAGTTCAAGCGATCACGCATCAGAAGAAATATGGGTTGAAACCAGAGATATTACCAAGGATGAATGCGCAAAGACTATTTCTGTAGCTGAAAAGAAATGAAAAGCCTTGATGGATGATAGATGAAACTCTTAACATTTCTGAAGATGAGAAACAAAAGTAAAAGGTGACAGAAATAGAAACAGAAGTCTAAAGACAGCATTCCAGCGACGGGCATGGAGAGACAAAGAACTATTTATAATAACCAGTGGAAAGAAATAAAAGAGAGCAACAGAAAAGGAAGAACAGGGAATCACTTCCACAAGATCTAAGAAATCAAAAGGAAATTTATACCACAGTTAGAGATGCTGAAAGATCAGCATGGAAATACCTTAACTGAACAGGATAAAATGAAGAAAAGATGGGGACATTACAATGATGGACTATATAGAAGAGATGAAAAGATGACAGATTCATTCAAAGAAGAATCTTTTATACAAGAATCTGCAGTTTTAAAAAGGGGAATGAAAGCTGCATAAGAACATAAGAAGAACCCTGCTGGATCAGACTTGTGGCCTGTCCAGTCCAGCATCCTGTCTCACAGAGGCTAACCATTTCCTCTGGAGGTCCAACAAAAGGGCACAGACGCCAAAGCCTTCCCCTGATGTTGCCTCCTGGCACTGGTATTCAGAGGTTTACTGTCTCTAGGTGAAATCCATCTGGTTGTCCTCATGAATTACCCCTGCATTGACCCATGTGGATCTATAAGAACCAGATCATCACTGAGACAGTACCCTAAGACCACAATTGTACCTTTAAAGATTGACTACCTCTTTCAATAGTCTTTCAGTAGTCATGTATGGCTGCGAGAGTTGGACTATAAGGAAGGCCGAGCGCCGAAGAATAGATTCTTTTGAACTATGGTGCTGGAGAAGACTCTTGAGAGTCCCTTGGACTGCAAGAAGATCAAATCAGTCAATCCTAAAAGAAATCAACCCTGACTGTTCCCTGGAAGGCAGGCCAGATACTGAAACTGAAGCTCAAATACTTTGGCCACCCAATGAGAAGGGAGCACTCACTGGAAAAGACCCTGATGCTGGGAAAGATTGAAGGTCAAAGAAGACAGGGACGACAAAAAATGAGATGGTTAGACAGTGTCATAGATGCAACGAACATGAAGTTGAGCAAACTTCAGAGGACAGCGGAAGACAGGAAGGCCTGGCGTGATCTGGTCCATGGGGTCGCGAAGAGTCGGACTCGACTGTGCGACTGAACAACAAAATGCCGGTCACCATCACTATAGCCTCTGGCAACAAAATCCACATTTTAATCACTCACTGTGTAAAGAAGTATTTCCTTTTGTCCATCCTGAAGCTACCGCTCATCAACATCATTAAATGCCCTCAGATTCTAGTATTTTGGGAGAGGGGAAAACGTTTTCTTCATCAACTCTCTCTCTTTCTCTCCCCCCCTTTGCATAACTTTGTAAACTTCTATGATGTCTACCCTTAGTTTTTTCTTTTCTAAACTGAAAGGTTCCAGACTCCTCAGCCTTTCCTGAGAGGGATCGTGTGATCATGTGCATCACCTTACCCTTACCAATACTAAACTTCATTTGCCACGTTGTCGCCCCTTCACCCAATGTGTGGAGATCCTCCTGGAGCTCTTCAGAGTCATCCTTGGTTTCCACCATCCTCAGTAATTCTGTATTATCTGCAAACTTGGCCACAACACGACTCACCTCTAGTTCATTTATGAAATCAAATAGTACCGGCCCCAATACGGACATCTGTGGGACCCCAATGCTTATTTCCGTCCATTGGGAGAACTGCCCATTCAGTATTACTCTTTGCTCCCTGTCATTTAACAAATTTTAATCCATATGAGAACCTGTCATCGTTTCCCATGACTGCTGAGTTTACTCAGGAGTCTTTGGTGAGGTACCTTTATCAAAAGCCTTTTGAAAGTCCAAGTATACAATGTCTACTGAGTCACTGCTGTCTACATGCTTGTTCAATTTCTCAAGAACTCCAAAAGATTGGTGAAGGAGGACTTCCCTTTGTAGAACCCATGCCGATTTCCCCTTAGCAGGCTTTGTTCTTCTGTGCCTAATAATTCTATCTTTGATTACAGTTTCTACTGATTTGTTGGGACAGACGTTAGGCTAACTGGCTTGTAATTTTATAGTTCCAATCTGAATGCTTTTTTTTAAAAAAACTAGCGTAATATTTGCTACTCTTCAGGCTACTGGTACAGCAGCTGAATTTAGTAAGAAGTTATATATGTGTGTTAGTAGATCAACAGTCTCATATTTGAGTTCCCTGAAAACTCTCAGGTGTATGCCATCAGGATCTGGAGACTTGCTGATTTTTAAATTCCTCAACAGGACTAGAACTTCATCTCTCTTCACCTTGATTTGGCTCTGTTCTTCAGACTCCCTTCCTGAAAATAGTGACTTTGGCATGAATACATGCCCCACACTTTCCACAGTGAATACAGAAGCAAAAAATTCATTGAGCTTCTCTGCCATCTCCCCATCTTCCTTTAGCAATCCCTTTATTCCTTAGTCATTCAAATGCCCAACTGCGTCCCTGGCTGGTTTCCTGCTCCAGAGATATGTGTTTAAATAAATGTTTGTTGTTTCTCTTGACGCTTTTAGCAACCTGCTTATCAAATTCTTGTTGCTGAACTCAATAGTATAGTGGTCACTGATCCCAGCTGGTGCAACAACCTCTGCATCTCTTTCCAGATTCTCAGCCCCACTCAGAACTACGTCAAAGATCACCAACACACCTCTCATACGTTCTGTGACCAACTGTTCCAATGTGCAGTCATTTATGACAACTAGGAATCTCATTTCTACAGCATCGCTCAAGCACATGTTTACCCAAGCAATGTGAGGGTAGTAGAAGTCTGCCAGTATAGTAACATTATCTGCTTGACCAATTTCACACAAGAGCTGCACCATGGTCCTGTTTTTTGAGGATCACGAAACCACGGGGAAAATCAGGCGAAGCCGTGGATCAAAATGAGGCAACGCGGCTTTGAGTGGGAAATTGACCAACAGAAGCAGGGCAAAGGGAGGCACAACTGTGGCACAGCTCTTGTGTGAAATCGGTCCTTTAGTCACCTCCCTAATTTCCTTCTCCATCTCAAATCAGCCTCAAAGGTTTCATCAGGTGGCCAATAGTACATACCCACTTTTTAATTACCCTTACTGGCACAGTAAGGTAAAGGTTCCCTTGCTCGAAAGCCAGTTGAATCCGACTCTAGGGTTGCGGTGCTCATCTCCGTTTCAAAGCCGAAGAGCCAGCGATGTCCGTAGACGTTTCCGTGGTCATGTGGCCGGCATGACTAAACACCAAGGCGCACGGAACGCTGTTACCTTCCCACTGAAGTGGTACCTATTTATCTACTTGCAGTTTCTTGCTTTCGAACTGCTAGATTGGCAGGAGCTGGAACTAGAGATGGGAGCTCACTCCATCATGCGGCAACCCGGGTCTCGAACTGCTGAACTACTGACCTTCCACAGCCTGCAGTTCAACGTCTTAACCACTTGAGCCACCACAGCTGTACTGGCACACTGTACAGCTCCACTGGCACAGTACATCCAACCATATTCCTTCTGTTGAGGAGTTCATTCCCCTAGGGATGACTATTTCCCATAGATTTCCCCCCAATCCTCCACATTTCTTATACCCACTACAGCTAAATTGTCATTTCACACCAAGCACTCCAGCTCCCACATCTTGGCTTAGAGACTTCTAGCACTGGCACATAGACACATGTAACATGTTTCCTTCTCCAGCAACCCTCGCCTCTTTCAGTCCACCCAGAGCAACCGGGAGAAACAAATCACCAAGAGTTGATGGGATATCAATAGAGCTATTTTGAGCCATACAAACAGAGGCCATTAAAATCTTAACAAAAATATCCCAATAAATATGGAAAACAAAACAATGGTCCACAGATTGGAAATGCTCAACCTACATTCCAATTCTGAAGAAAAGAAATGTCAAAGACTGCAGCAACTATTGGACCATCACATTCTCAAACAAGTACAGTGATGCTTTACTGTTACCATACATGGAATGAGAAATGGCAGATCTTCAAGATGGAATCAGAAAAGGAAGAGGCACTAGAGCTCATATTGCAAATTTGTGTTGGAGCATACAAGAGAATTTCAGAAGAAAATCTACTTGTGTTTTATAGATTACAGCAAAGGTTTTGACTGGGTGGATCATAAAAAGCTATAGTTGTTTTTTTTAAAAAATGGATGTGCCATAACATGATTGTTCTAATGCACAACCTGTACTTAAGTGTACGAGTGTTTCTTTTTGTTGTTCAGTCGCACAGTCGAGTCCGACTCTTCGTGACCCCATGGACCAGCTCCCGCCAGGGCCTCCTGTCTTCCGCCATCCTCTGAAGTTGGCTCAATTTCATGTTTGTTGCATCTGTGACACTGTCTAACCATCTCATCCTTTGCCGTCCCCGTCTTCTTTGACCTTCAATCTTTCCCAGCATCAGGGTCTTCTCCAGTGAGTGCTCCCTTCTGATTTGGTGGCCAAAGTATTTGAGCTTCAGTTTCATTATCTGGCCTTCCAGGGAACAGTCAGGGTTGATTTCTTTTAGGATTGACTGATTTGATCTTCTTGCAGTCCAAGGGACTCTCGAGAGTCTTCTCCAGCACCATAGTTCAAAAGAATCTATTCTTCGGCGCTCGGCCTTCCTTATAGTCCAACTCTCGCAGCCATACATGACTACTGAGAATACCATTGCTTTGACCATGTGGACTTTTGTTGGCAGGGTGACCAGTTTCAAGTTAATTTATGTCATAGTATTCCCCATTACTATGTATGGACGTGAAAGTTGAATAATGAAGAAAGCTGACAGAAAGGTAGTAGATTCATTTGAAATGTGGAGAGTTTTACGGATACTGTGGACAACCAAAACGACAAAAAGGCTGAAGGAAAAGAGGAAGACCCCAAATGAGATAGATTGATTCAATAAAGGCAGTCATGGTCCTCAGTTTGCAAGACCAGAGCAAGAATTATTTTATTTTATTTATTTATTTATTTATATCTGGCCCTCGCCTCAAGGCAGACTCACGGCGGCTTACATGAGGTGTATAAGACAATTAAAACACAAATTAAATAAAATCAGAATACAATTATAAACATAATGTAATATCAAGTGCTAGCTTGTATCAGATGGCGGGCATTAGCAGTATCCTCGGGCAGCAGCTGGCTGACATCGTAGTTTGGGTTGAACTGGCTGTCAGCAATGATGTTAATATTAATATTGGAGCCGGGGCCTGAGTTTCTTGGGTGCAGCTCCCTAATCGAAGGCCTGGTGAAAGAGCTCCATTCTGCAGGGGTTTGGAGGTTATTAATTCATAGGGATGCCATAAGTCAGAAGCTACTTCACAGCACTTTACATACACGCGTTAGACAAACACAATTCTCAATTCCATTATTCTTCTCTTCTTCATTTTACCCTCACAACAACCTTGTGAGGTAGGTAAGGCTGAGAGACTGTGACTGGCCCAAGGTCACCCAGTGAGCTTCCATGGCAGAGTGGGGATTTGAACATGGGCCTCCAGATTCTAGTCCAACTCTCTAACCACTACACCACACTGGCTCTCAGTGTAATAAAGAAACCCTGCTACAGCGAAACAAAGCAGCCCATTGACCTACCTCTCTGGAAGACAAAAAAAAAGTTGTGCGGAAGGAATGGGTAGAAACTGTTGGAGACCAGTTGTTGCACATAGCAAAGCCTCAGAGAACAAACTCAAATACAATCACATACGCTATTTCTCATAAAACGTTCGTTGCAATCACTGTAAATATTAAAATAGCCTTCCATCATTACAGCTTTGATGTTTCTTTTTAAGATCTATTATTATTAATCACTCCACTGATTACATTACCTTTCTGGAACAAAGCTACCTAAAGTATAATCTAGCAGCCTTCAGTCACAGGTTTGTTGTAACAAATTTCGAATTCCTTCTGGGTATCAGTGAAACCAAATCCACCTAATAGTATTTCCTACAAGCGCAACACAGCCTTTCAGCTGTTGATATATGAGCTTGTTATATGGGAAACAATGTTCTATTAATATCTACTGGCTTTGTAAGCTGTTTGAGACTGACTTGCAGATTCAGGCTAAAAACAATGGAAAACATTCCACATTTTGCCTATTGGCTTATTTTGGACCCTGTAGGATCTGTTTCCCAACCTTTTTCTTGAGTCGGAGGCTCTGTAGCAAGGCTTCCAATTGGCTTTTCTGCCAAGTAGTGATGTGCCACTGGAACTCACAAAGTCTCCTAACAGCTTCACAGACAATTTTTTAATTTTGTTGCTTCTGCTGGCAATATTAAAAAATATAAAATAAAAGGAAGGTTCTCAAGATTGCTTCCACTATCCATGGCTCTTCCCATCACCCAGTGCTGCTGAGCCTCACCCTACCTGCCTTAGCTAATGAAACAAATGGTTCTTCTTATTCAAATTTATCCAGACATCACTGAATTGAACACAAAATGTCACGCCAGAAGTAGTATTTGTCTGCCCCTGAGATTGCCCACCTAGGGCTGGAGATATCACTGCATTTTTATTCCTGATGTGCTCCTAACCAAATCGGTAATCCAGAGAGGCTGCAGCTTTCCAATCCTAAAATGTTTTTGCAAGAAGGAAGGCAATGTAACATCACAAAGCAAGCAAGAGATAGTGGAGTAGCCTTGAATTATACAATGCAGTCTCCCAGCAGTTTCTGGAAGGTTATTTACCACCACCACCCCACCACCCTGTTGAAGTAGTAGGGATGGTATGAAGTTTTGGTCAGGACTTCTAGTTAACTAGATCACTTCTCCTCCGTTAAACTCATCGGGGATAGTTCCCCTCCCCTCCCCTAGTCGGGATGTTGGTATCAGTGTTCCCTCTAAGCCGAGTTAGTGTGAGCTAGCTCACAGTTTTTTAGCCTCCAGCTCACGCATTTTTGTCTTAGCTCAGGACGGACGGCTCCAGAGCAAACTAATCTATGCAGCAGCCAAATCGCTCGCTCACAACCTTAATGCCAGGAGCTCCCAAAGTCAAATTTTTGTTCACAAGACTCCACAGCTTAGAGGGAACATTGGCAGAAAAGGCCAGTTACCGATCAAGAGACCAGAGGGCTTGAATATTTCATGAGCACATGCCATAAAAGCGGCCCCAGCTGAGCCAGCGCAGAGGGCTTGAAATGAGGAGGACGCCCCGCAGTCAAGCAATTAAAGAGGAGAAAACGGGTCACTCTCCGGACCGAGCTGTTCGGCAGGCGCTAACCGGCAGCCCCGACATCAGCGCAGCGCCCGAGGCGAGGAGGAAGTCGCGAAGACTTACCGAGCGTCCCCGGGGCGATCATGCCGCTGCTGCTGGCAGAACCGGCCTGCAGCTCTGCAATGAGCCTCCGCGCGCGCCTGCCCGGGAAGAACGCAGGATGGGGGAGGAGCCGCGGCGGCGGCCAGAAGCTGCCGCATTCCCCGGCGCTCCGCACCTCCCCGCGCCAGCTGGACCACTTAGCCCGGCCAGGCCAGGCCAGGCAGGCCAAGCCAAGCAAAAGCACCCACCCCTCAGGGCGCCGCTACCCTCTTGACCTTGTGCTTCCAGGGGTCTGGTTGGTCGCACCTCCATCCTAGGGAGAAGAAGGGCGTGGAGGGGGCCCTTGACCTGCTGGGCGCGAAGGTTTCGGGCATAGCCGCCGTCCACTGACCAGGGGCACCACCATTTCTGCGGCGCGCGCGCGCTCTCGCCCGCGCGCTCCTGCCGGGCCGGAAAGGGTTAAGCAAACAACAACAACTTCGTCTTCGCGCCCACCCCAGCATATCCCCCCGCCGCCGCCGCCGCACCCGGCTTCCTTTACCTGCCGCTTCTCGCCAATGCACCTGTTAGCATTAGCTGGATCCGGGGGCGCAGCATTGGGGACTCCCCACCAAGCTATGCAGAACGCGGTAAGCTTTGCAACGCGCACTGGGTAGAGGGCGCGTGCCAGAGAGAGGTGGCGCAGGAGGCGCCGCGTTCCCGCTCACCTTCGGGTTTCCTTGGCGGGCCGCTCTCTTTTCGGGGAGACGTTCGCTCCGGGAAACGACCGAGCCGGGATCCTTCTCCCGAGGAAGTCGCTCTGCCTCCTCGGCGAACGGTGCTTGGCAGCGCCTCCTGAGGTCTGCGGGCGAAAAGGGAACTCCTCTCAAGGAGGAAGGGCTCGGGTTACAGTCCCCCTGGTGGGAAGAAGAAAGAGCGCGCCGTCACGCCTTGCGGGAAATCTTCTTGGCAAAAAGCCCTTTGTCTTACCAGAGCGAAGCCCCCGGGGGGTGATCTCGGGAGAAGGTCCTTGGCTACTGAACTCCCGACTCATCCTTGTCTCCCGCTGCTGCAGCAGCAGCGTTCAGTTTAGAGTAGCGTTCCTGGATAGCCAGTGGAGCTCAAAGCGGGGGAAGTTAAGTGCTCCTGATGTTTCCGTGGTGAGTCACTTTTCCCGGGTCGCAACTGCCAGTCCCCAGCTAAGAAGAAGAAGAGATTGGATTTATACCCCGCCCTTCACTACCCAAAAGGTGTCTCAGAGCGGCTTACAAACTCCTTTCCCTTCCCCTCCCCACAACAGACATCCTGTGAGGTAGAAGAAGAAGAAGAGATGGGATTTATACCCCGCCCTTCACTACCCAGAGGAGTCTCAGAGCGGCTTACAAACTCCTTTCCCTTCCCCTCCCCACAACAGAAACCCGGTGAGGTAGA